CAGATCCTGACTCCCAGAGCTGCCCAAAGTCAAATGCCTTCAACTTGCCAGTGCTGGGCTCAGTTCTCTTCCAGTGGAGCAAGTCTGTCCTCATTCGGCCAGGCTAGAAGTGCCTTTTAACTCTTAAGGTTAACTACCCTCCAGAGCCGCCCAGGTCGAGGAGACTGCGCCATACTCTGTCCCCTGTCTTCCTGCAGCTCAGAGCACCAGGCATTTTAGTCTTACAGCTCTTCAGCTGATCTGCTGACTTGGACATAGGATTTCACCGAAACTCTTAGGCTTCCTAGTCTGGAAATACTTTTTTGGGTTTGTCTTCTCATAGCTGGATGGCCTGTTTTCCTGGATTTATTATAGAATTTAGAAACAAGTCCATGGGGGCATGACCCCTGAGAGTTTAGCCTTCAGCCCTGTTTTGTGAGACTCATGAACCAATTCTGTCCTCCTGTGTGTTGATCGCATAATCCTCACACTCTCAGGTAAGAGACTGATGGGAACATCTCATGTGTAAACTTGTTGAGGTGCTTTGCTAATCGAGTGCATATAAAATATCTTCCCAAGAAAGCATTCTAATTCTTAGCTAGTTTATGCTGCACAACTCTAGGAAGCACTAAGCCTGGTACTTAAATGAGAGGTTGTCCTTCAGGCCAGGCCTAGTGGTGTTGATGCTGCCGTGGCTCCAGGTGTGTCCGGAATGCTTCTCTACTAACAGCTCTCAGCCCATTGACAGCCTTGGAGCTCCGCTCATTGCTTCTTACCCCTCACTGCAGTCCAAGATGGTGTCCTGCTACTGCAGTCCAAGATGGTGTCCTGCTCTCCAGTATATTTACTGGACTTGCCTCCTGATGTCTTTTCAGCCATCCTCAGTTGTTGGTGCCTTGCCCTCAGGAGCAGTTTCCAGGGCATTTCCCAGAGGCCCTCGAGCTGTCTCAAAGAGGACTGTCCCTGCTGTTTCGTGCATTGGCTACAGCATTAGACTAGCTTTCTGGCAGACTGCCTCAGGATCAGCACTTATTTGACTAGATATAGTCTCAGCTGCCTGGGAGTCTAATAAGCATATTTCATGTTCATCCAAAATGAAGCATTCTTCATTTACTGAGGCTAAGCCTTGGATGTTAAGGCATTGTGTGTCCCGGGCCACAGTGGGTGATGTTACTAATAGAAGGAAGCTGGGTTTGCAGGGGTTTGGGGCTGTGCGAGAGTAAACACTAAAACACTTGCGTTCCAGCCAGCTGGCAAGGATGAAAGTCTTTGAAGAATGTAATACAAGATGGGAAAAGGAGAACGTAAAGCTTTTTGTCCTGAATGAGAGTAGGAAACCAGCCAGTAGGACCAGCGTGGGCAATAAGAAATGCTTCTCTCTCTGGACAAGCCTCTGAAAAGGGACATTCCATCTCCACTGGTCCACTCCCAGGGGCACTGCCGTGCAGAGATTAGCCCACGAAACTGGAAGAAACCCTTTGGAGTGGTGGGTATCCAGCTTACTGTGCATGTGGCACCGTCTGTTGGTGGTAAGGTAGGGCCCCCAACTGGTTCACACATGTAAATGCAGCCTTTTGCAGACAAGAGTAAGGACAGGTGGCTTTCCTACCTCTGAGCCTTCTTTGGGGAGGAACATCAAGGAAATGTTGACAGTTATCTGAAACATTTTAAGTTCCCTCATTGAATTCCTATCCTGCCCCTGAGGAATCATATGACCAAGAAACCACAGGCACCCACCCCAAATTTCGCCAGGAGGTGGAGTGATGCCAGAAGGGAAGAGAGGGAATGGCCCCTCTGCCTTCCCAGGGCCACCAGAATGAGGAACTGGTTGTATAACATATGAGAAGCCATACTTTCTTCTGTTTTCTCATTTCCAATGTTCCTGCTGTATGGATGAATAAAATGACATGTTGCAAATTTATTTGAAAATCCTGGAAGTAAGGTACTTTGCAAATACAGCATTCTTTTTAACCAATAAACATACTATTTTTATAAGCACTGTTTTTGCCAAGAGTTGTGAAATCACTTGTGTACTTAGGGAAGAGAAGACTACGTGCTCTCCTAAAGTCATTCAGCACAGAATCAGCACTGAAAATCTGATCTCTTGTTCTGCCTGACTATTTTAAGGACTGTCCTGGTTGGAGCATAACAAGTAGATTCACATGGCATTGGAGCTGGAAGGGCCTTTTAAAGACATCTGGTCCTACTTTCTACTGATATGCAACTCATCCCTATCAGCATCCCTTGAAGAGCCCTTCTGTCTCGGGCTAATTCTCTGTTCTAGGGGCTACTTAGATTGTTGTATTAAGTCAAAATCTGCCTCCTTGTCAAGGCTCTGGACTGCTTGCCTTACCCCCACTTTAGGATAGAACAGACAGTTTAGAACCTGAGTAGTCCTCCTGGGCCTTCTCCACAATCATGGCTAAAAAGGAACACAGACCAACTCAACAGGAGATAGTAAGTGTTGATTAAGAATCGCTAAGCTTCAAGGCTATGGTTTTTCCAGTGGTCATGTATGGATGTGAGAGTTGGACTGTGAAGAAAGCCGAGTGCCGAAAAATTGATGCTTTTGACCTGTGGTGTTGGAGAAGACTTGAGAGTCCCTGGGACTGCAAGGAGACCCAACCAGTCTATCCTAAAGGAGATCAGTCCTGGGTATTCATTGGAAGGCCTGATGCTGAAGCTGGAACTCCAATACTTTGGCCACCTCATGCGAAGAGTTGACTCATTGGAAAAGACCCTGATTCTGGGAGGGATTGGGGGCAGGAGGAGAAGGGGACGACAGAGGATGAGATAGGTGGATGGCATCACCGACTCGATGGGCATGAGTTTGAGTAAACTCCGGGAGTTGGTGATGGACAGGGAGGCCTGGCGTGCTGCGATTTATGGGGTTGCAAAGAGTCGGACACGACTGAGCGACTGAACTGAACTGAAGCTTCCAAAGAGGTAGGAAATACTAAGGGCTCACAGCACTATTTGGCAGATAAGAAAAATTGCCTGCTCCCAGGGGAACACCCCTGGGCAAGAAGATGGTGATCTCGATAAATTAGACAGAGGCACTCCTTTGTCCTGGGGCACAAAACCTGGCCAGCAGAAGGCGGACTGGTTTTATACCTCCCTGGTTCTTCAGCCAGGTGTTCTTGTACAGGGTCGCTCTGCACTGCCATGGTTCTTGACCCAGTTTTAACTACTCACCCTGATGCAGTTTGGAAGAGGGTCCTCCAACAGGCTTCCTGGTTCCATTTTTACATTCTACTAGGTTCAGAAAGGTTTCTCCTTCCTCAAGCCATTGTCCAATTAGTGTATCTACTCCATTTCCCCCACAGTCCAAGGCCATTTCTGACTATTACCTTTACGTCACCAGTCCTGCTGAATTTAAGCTCCCTGGTTCCTGGCAGCATGGGCACAATGCTCCTTTCAGTAAAGATCTGTGGGCCCCGGTGTTGCCTCATATGGACTCCAACAGACACTGGACTGCCAGTTTGAATACTTTCCTGCCCTTTTAATCATAAAAACAATGTCCAGGAGGGCACTCTTGGCCTTAAAGTGTGGATGGAGTGTCACCTGCCCTATCAGTAAACAAAGGATGTGGCCATCAAGGCAGTAGCCACTGTAGCCACCCCCAACTGCACCCTGAGGGGACTCAAGGTGGAGAAAAGCAGGCTGTTAGCCCCAAATAGTTGAGGTGCATATCAAAGGAATGCTTTCAGTGAGCCCAGACTCTTGTATCTTCCCCAAGAAAAACACTAAACTCATTACGTCTGGTTACTGGTCTTTAATTAACAGTAAAGCTTTTGATATTCCAACTACCAGCTTTTTGTAAAAACTCCTTTATAGCCTGACTGCTCCCTTGCCTCTTTGGAGCAGTCCCACAGAGCTATCTGAGAGGCTGCCTCCCGGGTTGGAATCCTTAGAAAGTTTGCCAAATAAAACACAATTCTCAACTTTTGGGTTGTGCTTTTTTTTTTTCCCCCAGTCAACATAAGGTTTGGTGAAGCTGTTGGGTAATTTATCCTCACACTAGCCTGTTTGCTTTTTCCCAGATTGCTCTGGGTCTCCAGCCTTCCTCTCCTCTTTTCCCTCCCAAACCCTGGCCATGGGGGTGTCCTTAGAATGGATATTGTTTCAAGCCAGTGCTCAGCAGTCAGGAACCCTATTTTGGACGCTGACTTCTGGACCGTACCCTGTGTACAAGTACCCTTGAAAATAAAATGTATCTGATGAAAGTAGCTCTCCTCCAGACTTTGCTGAGTCCGAGGAAAGCAGAAGCCAAATAATGCAGGGCGCTTGAATTTCTTAAGGAACAGCCAGAACTTTGTGCCCTCTGCCCTGCAGACCGGCCTCGCCTTGGACAGAGGCAGGCACGGGGCGCCACACTGAGGGAGGCTGTCCGAAGTCCCCGTCGGCCAGTCCAGGTTGCAAAATGTGCCCGGCGGCGGCGAAGGAAGGCATCCTTTAGCCACGTGTGCAATGACAATCACAGGTGCAGCTGGAAGGAGGCGCAGACCCCGGAGCTTCCCGCCTCCCGAAGCTTCCACCACAGGAGAAGGGAAGACGGGGTTATCTTGGTATCTCCGCATCAGATCCTCCTCGGCTGGGGTCTCACGCCGCCGCCCACAGAGCCCAGGTTCCCCCCCAAGTCGGGGCACCGCCCACCGTTCCAGCATGACGCGGGCGCGGGGACTTGGGAACTGTAGTTCCCGGCTCGGTTTGCGGCGCCGGGGCGGGGGCGGTGCGGACTCCAAGTCCCGGCGGGCGGCGCGGCTCAGCCCGGGGCGCTGGGGGTGGGGCCTCCCGGCCCTTTAAACCATTCAGGGTCGCTCCGAGGGCCGCAGCCGGGGACGGCGCCACGCGGGGGCCGAGCAGGAGGCGACGGCGGGGCGCTCCGGGGAGGTGCGTACGGGGCCCCTTCCTCCCTCAGACCTCCAGAGACCACCTGCGAAGACGCAGGTTCTGGGGGCTGCGGGCGCCCAGGCGGGCGGGCGGGGGACCGGGCTGGGCTTACCGCGTGAACCCGCCCCTTTCCCGCGGCGCCGGCACTCAGGTAGCTGCCTGCGCCCCGCTGATTCTCCGCCCATCCCCGGACCCCTTCGCAGGCTTTTCTTGGCGTGACCCGCTCCGGATTGTCCTGACTCCAGCCCCTCTCCCAGCCCGGAACCCTCAGGCCAGGGAGGGTGGCTCCCTTTCCAGAGCTTAGGGCCCCGCGGCGTCTGAACATCAGGCTGGAAGGGGGAGGACCCCCGGTGAATGACGGAGGGTCCCCGGTGAATGCCGGAGGGTGTCCACGTTGTGGTGGAGGCTCAGCCCCAAGCGTGGGCGCTCAGAGCCGCAGAGGGAGCCCTGCATCTAGTGCTGACCACCTTTCTCTCCCCAGCACCGGCTTTGGTCAGTCACTAGACCCTGGACTTTGACCTGTCTCTCTCCACCAGGCCCGGGCAGCTGATGGTTTTGACGAAGTATCTTAAGGTAGCCGGCCCACCCCCTCTTCTCCTGATACCTCTTGTCCTCCCCCCCCCCAATCACCACCACCCTGGCTTCCCTCCCTCATGACCGCCTGGATCCTCCTTCCTGTCAGCCTGTCAGCATTCTCCATCACTGGCCTATGGACTGTGTGAGTACGGAGGGGGATGGGGGGTAGGCAACGAGGGAACAAAATGTGAGGAGGGACAGGGCCCAACCAGGACCCAACAGGAGCCTGATGGTACACAGAAAGCCCCCTTGTCCTGTGGCAGGCTCCAGGGTGGCACCCAGGGTCACTCTGGCTGTCTCCAGAGCCTGACCTGGTGCCTGGGCCCACAGCCCCTTGGGACAAGCTGGCACCACTGCTGTCCAGCGGGGTAATGCAGACAGACACATTTCTAGCCAGGGCAACTTCCGGAAGTCCTCTAGTTTGGGACCAGGCTGTGGGTTCTAGAGTAGCAGGCCACCCCAACTCAAGTCCCCAGAGAGGAGAGTGAGACTGGATGAAGGAAAAGAGTCGGTGGGGGAAGGCTGGGCGCATCGTGGGGCAGGGTGACAGTTGTGCTCCCGCAGGTATGCCATGGCTGTGATGAACCACCACGTGTGCCCCGTGGAGAACTGGTATGGCGCACTCTGCAGACAGCCTCACTCTAAAGCTCCCTTCATCTCTGTTCCCTCTTGGGCCGGGGCTGCCTCAAGCCAGATGGAGACACTGGGCCTCACTGCTCTTCTCTGACATTGGCAGCGCCTGCCCCCTCCCCAGGCATGGCTTTGTGCCCACCTACCTGCTTCCCACCGTCATTTGCCCCTTTGGCTTCTGTCTCAGGGGTCCTGGGAAGTGGGCTCTTCTGCCCCTGCCAAGGGAGGTCTGGGAGGGTGTCTCTGAGAGACCTGAGGGAACCCCTTCCCCCCAGGCTATGCTCTGTCCTACCTAACAGGTCTTACAACGAATCCTGCTCTCCTGACCCCATGGAGCAAGGGGGCCCCAAGATCTGCTGCACCCTGGATGACATCCCCCTCATCAGGTGAGGCCTAGAAACCTGGGAGGTGATGGAGACCCAAGGCCCAGCTAGTCTCCCAGCCAAGTGCCTCAAGCCAAGGCATATCCCTGGGTCCCAGAAATAGTAATTCCATTAAGAGCATACCAATTACTATGAGCCAGGCCCTGCACTGAATCCTTTACATGTCTAAGATCATTTCACCTTCCCAGCACTGAGGCAGCTATTGTTTTCATGACTTTATAGGCAAGGAAACTGAGACTGCACTATGTCACCCATCCAGATCCCTCAGCTAGTGAGTGGAGGCACCTATATTTAGGTTCCAGCTTTCTGCCCAGCCTAAGCCCTGGCATAACGGAAATCAGACCCACTGTGGACCTTGACAGTCTCGGATCCCAGGGAGCCGTGGGGTCCACTAGGCAATCCTGGGCTCTCACAACTCCAGCAAACACCCAGCACTCTGCCTTAGGGGGAGGTGTGGTCAGCCTGGGGCCACTTGTTTGTAAGGGACACTGGCCTTTATCCATCAGGGTCTGGCCTACGAAGGAACAGGTGCACATAAGGCTAGAAAGAGCAAGTGGGCCAGGAGGGGGGCTTTCCAGTGGTTCTGCCCCTCTCACTCTGTCCCCACCCCCTCCTCTCAGCAAGTGTGGCTTGTACCCCCCTGAGAGCTGCCTCTTCAGCCTCATTGGCAACCTGGGTGCTTTCATGGGTGAGTTGTGCCCTCGGCGCCCCACTACCACCCCACCCAATCCAGCCTACCCTCACCTCCACTCCCCAGGAAGCCCTGGCTTTGTGCAGCCCACTGCACCAAGGGCTAAGGCCAGTGGGGCCACTTCACTTCCATTCCATGAAGGCCCAAGGCTGACTCCCACACAACCACCCTGGTATAGTACAACCCCTGCCTGTCCATTCCCTTCCGGCCCTCAAGAGCATCTGGGGAAAGCTAGCTGGGCTGGGTCAGGGCCAGAGAAGGCGCCAGAGCCAGCCCCCGCTGTGCTCTCCTCCCCCAGTGGCCCTGATCTGCTTCCTGCGCTATGGGCAGCTCCTGGAGCAGAGCCGTCATTCCTGGGTCAACACCACGACGCTCATCACAGGCTGCACCAATGCTGCGGGTCTGGTGGTGGTGGGCAACTTCCAGGTACGCCCGCCTACCTGCCTTTCAGCTTCCCCTAAAGGAACAGCAAGGTGGGGCGGGGAGGGGGTGAGGTGGGGGGTGGGAGATGAAGGGGTGGAGGGGAGGGGCTGATCTGTGCTCGCTCTCTGGGCCCAGGTGGACCACGCTAAGTCTCTGCACTATGTCGGAACTGGTGTGGCCTTCACTGCTGGCCTTCTTTTCGTTTGCCTGCACTGTGCCCTCTCCTACCACGGGGCCAAGGCCCCTCAGGACCTGGCCGTGGCCTACCTGCGGATTGTGCTGGCAACCATCGCCTTTGTCACTCTGATCCTCAGTATCCTTCCAGGATGGGGTGGCCAGGAACTCCTCTTGTAGCTCAGGCCCTCTACCACCCAGGATGCTGGGGGAGTGGGGGGAACAAACACCCCTGCCCAGTCTGGTCTTCTGCCCCCTACTCCTGGGAGATGAGACCTGGTCCTCTGCCCCAGCCTATATCCAGGAAGACAGGAAGGGTGTCACCAGGCTCCCGCACCTCCTCCCTGATGTTTCCTTAGCCCCTTCCCAGCTGGGGTCTTCTTCATCCATGAGAGCTCTCAGCTGCAGCATGGGGCAGCCCTGTGTGAGTGGGTGTTCGTCATTGACATCCTCGTCTTCTACGGGACCTTCAGCTACGAGTTTGGGGCGGTCTCCTCAGACACACTGGTGGCCGCGCTGCAGCCCACCCCCAGCCGGGCCTGCAAGTCCTCTGGGAGCAGCAGCACCTCCACCCACCTCAACTGTAGCCCTGAGAGCGTCGCCATGATCTGAGGTCTGGGGAGGGTGGCTGGCCCTGCCTCCGCAGCTTCCCGCGTCTCCTCTGCATTTCTTTTGTACCAAAAAAACCCAATTTTGCGAAAAGTATTCTGTTGGGACATAGGCTGCCTCACTCCTGGAGGAGGGGCCATCCCACACCTGTGCCATAGAGGAGTGGGCCTCTTGGCAGGCTGCCCAAGCCACACACAGCCCGCTCCCCACACCGCAGTGTTGTCTTTATGTTTTAAAGGTCACATGTCATTCACCCAGCCAGCCCTTCAGGTGCCTTCTACTCCCTCCCTCAGTGCCAAGGCTGGACCACTGGGATTTCCTGCTGCAGGAATTGGGGGCTGGGAACAGCAAGAGGGCTACCAGTCTCAGGGGTGGGGGTGAGCACTCCTTAGTCTATGGGAAGGCCCCCTATGGGCCCACTGAGCTGCACTGGGATTTCTTCACTCTGCCCCTTTCTTTAGGGCAAATAACACAGCAGAACCACGTGGGTATTTTAGTATTTTTTTTTATATATATATCTATTAAAAGAATTCTAATTTGCATGTTTGTAGTCTGTCCTGAAGAAGAGGGCCTTATGCAGAACAGCTTCGCCTGGACAAAGGATGGGAGAAAGCCCCTGCCCACAGGGAGGGTCCTGAGTGCCCATCGAGAGCAGAGCTGCCAAGAACAAAGGATGCCAAGTGCTATCCAAGTACCCTTGAAGGGCTTGAAGCCCTTTCTGGGCCTCTAAACAGTCTGAAGAGCTGACCTGATTATTTCACACTTCCTACCCTGCTCAGGGGCTCCCCTGGTGGTTCAGATGGTAAAGAATCTGCCTGCAATGCAGGAGACCCCAGTTGGATCCCCAGGCTGGAAAGATCCCCTGGAGAAGGGAATGTCTCACCTACTCCAGTATTCTTGTCTAGAGAATTCATGGACAGAGGAGCCTGGTGGGCTATAGTCCATGGTGTCGCAGAGTCAGATACAACTGAGCAACTAACACTTTCACTCTTTTTCACCCTGCTCAATTGTCTGGCTTGAAGACTGATTCCATACTAAGGGATATGACAAAGGACAGGGTACAGAGAATAACTTGAAAATGTTAGAAGCAATCTGCAATGAAGCTAAAGAAAGCCCTGGGGACTCTAACACTGACTAAAGATTGCAGTTGGGAGGAAGAAATGTGGGGTAGTTTTTGGTTACCATTTTTAAGTCACTACTAGGTGCCCTGCCTGACACATGTTTTCCAACCACAGACATGTAGGCCCAGGCTGTGGCTGGTCTGGTAGCCAGGTTCTTGACCTGGGCCCTATTACCCTTGGCCCAGCAGGCTTGGTAGGGAGGGATACCCAGCCTGGGACCTTCTACGGTTCAGGACCCCATTCCAGTAGAGACCCAGTGGAGGGCACAGAGCCCCTGCCCATGCCTGAGAGCAATCCAGCAGCAGGATGAGTGAAGAAACCTTTAATGAGAATTCAAGATGCAAGAGGAACATGTTGCAGAGGACCAGTGTCCAGCCCTAGCCACCTCATGTATACATGGCTCCGTGGAGGTTCTCGAGGCGGTGCTTCTGCTGCTGCTTGCGAGCCTGAAGCAAAGAGTGCACACTGGTCGGGGGCCATCCCCAAAGGCCTGTGGGTGAAGGGATAGGGCAGCCATCGTGGGGCTGGCTCACTGTTTTCAGGCCCCTAGCATTTTGGCAGGAACATTGCCAAGGCCCTTGCCCCTCACCACAGTCACTGGGAAGGTGGCCAGAGTCATGGACTGTGAGCCTACTCAGGCCTCCTAAGGTGGGGAATGAGAGCATCTGGAACAGGGACTCAGGGAGCCCTGTGACCACCCCCTCCACTTGCCCAGCCCCCTACCTTATCTCGCTTGTGCTCCTCATAAGTGTCATCATCAGTGGGCAGCTCATGGCGGCACAGAGGGCAGGAATTGGTCTGGGAAAAGCAGTGCAGTGTACCAGCCCGTCTGGTTTTCATAAGCGCAAAACAACCATCCCCAGCTCCCAATTCCCTACCCTTACCCCTCTCCCATCTCTGATCCCACACCCCACCCCAAAGGTCCATCAATAGAAAGAGGCTTGAGGACTAGGCCCAAGGCAGGGTGAGGGCTGGGAGAAAGGAAACAGTACCTTGCTCAGCCAGGGCAGAATGCAGTTGGAATGGAAGAGATGATGGCAAGGCATCTCAATGGCGGTCTCCTCCTCCTCAAATTCCAAAAGACACACGGGGCACTTGAGCTCTTGAGGAGGGAGTGCTAATCAGGAGAGCTGCCACAGGCCCCACCTCCCAGCTCCCACTCCTGAAGAACACACTTGCCCCAGCCTGACCTGGAAAACTGAAGGGCCAGACTCTAATCTGGCTTCCAGAGTTGGTCAGTCTGGCAGACATGCCCCAAAGAATTAATGGAAAGACTTAGTGTTCTCACCAGCCTGAGAGCCCCTGATGACTGTCCTGGGAAGGTTCTCAACTGCAGTCTTGGCAGCGGGTGGAGGCAGGTGGTGGTCCCAATCTACTACCAACCCCAAGTCTTCAAAGTCCATCCTATTGAAAAGGGACCTGGGAAGAAGGATGCAAGGTCAGAACCAAAGAATCTTTGCCCAAAGAATCTTTGCCCCCACAATCCACTACACATTAACAGACAAATACTCTGCCCGACAAGTCATACTAATAGCTACCCCTCAGTAGAGCTCACTAGACAAAAAGCACCGTGTGAAATGGCTTACAGCAGCTATCAGACAACCCCAGGCCATCAGACACCCCAAGCATGCAGGCTATTTATTCCAGTTTTACACAAGAGACAACTTAGAGAAATTACTCGGGCCACTCAGGAATGACCCGATAAAGCCAGATTCCAAGTGGCAGTGTGGCTTCCGTGCTTGAAGTGCCTAACAGATATACCTACTCCAGTCCGGACACCCCCTCTTCCACACTCCGATCTCTTTTTCCAGAATTCCCTTGCTCTGGCCCGTCCACGGATGACCCAAATTATCGTCTTCCTCCCGAATCTCACTGCGGAATTAACTGTGCATATTATTTATCCGTTTTACCCAGAAACTGCTGCCCCAGATAATCCGTGTTCTCCAGCCAGCCTTAGCCTAGACACCTGCTGTGTGGGCCCTACCTTTCAGCCCCGCACACCCACCTTGCAAGCTCCAGCAGCATGTTTGTTCGGGGATCCCGTTCGCGATCCAACGGCTCACAGTCGTGTTCATCGAAATAGGACGCCATGGCAGCCGGGCTGTCTGACACAGTCCTCAGACCCGGCCGGACCTCAGTCTTGTGGCGCTGGCCAATAAACTAGCGAGTTGAGGGAGGGCGACCAATCAGAGTCCCCGAAAGGCGGGCACAGTGGCTCTTTCACCACATAGGAAGAGGAAGTATTCATTTTGTCACCTCTCATTGGCTCGAATAAGTCAGGTGACCAAGGGCTAAAGCCAATGGCAGGGACCGAGGTGGGTCAGAAAACGGTCCTCAAAAAAAAAAAAAAAAAAAAAAATGAAAAAGAAAGAAAGAAAACGGTCCTCTTGGAGCCCCTGTCTAGGGTAGGTTTCTGGGAGGCACGAGCGGATCGCATAATCTTGAGAAGCCAAATGTTTGGACTATAGGGGTCCTCTAACCGCTCTGCGACTCAGAGGGTCTCGGCAGGTCAGATCTTACAGGCCTGTCAGAGAGAGGGAGGCGCTGACTCAGGGGTAAGGGTTCTGCGAGCCTAGAGAAGCCTGGAGTCGGGGCTTCCCGCGGCTCTGCCGCATCCTCGCCGGGCACTTCAGCACCCGCTGCACTCTGGTCGGTTCAGGACTAGACACTTGACGCCACCTTGACTCCCTTAAAACAAACAAAACTTTCCTATTCAGTTCTGCTGTGTTAGGCACAATAATAAAAGGTGGGGTAAACTCCCCCGCCCGGGTAGAGGTCTACCAGCTCAGGGAACTATCTATCTGTGTGATCTTTTAGCCCATTGCTCAGCTTCTGTAAAATTAGTGGCTTGAATTTAATAAGTAGTTTGCATCCCTGGCACCCATGAATCTCTTGGAGGAGGAAAGGAGAGGTTGCAGCTTTAGGGGAAAAAACAACAACAAAACTCCACATCTGATGTTTAGTCTCAAAGATCAAATTTAACTGATCTAGGCCTGGGTGTGTGTGTGTGTGTGTACTAAATGATTTGGCTCTGTGTGTGTGTGTGCACTAAATGATTTGGCTGCTAGCTAGCATTCGCCTGGGTGTGTGTGTGTGTGTGTGTATATATACTAAATGATTTGGCTCTTTGTGTGTGTGTGTACTAAATGATTTGACTGCTATCATTTATTTGGCAACTAGAACCATTACATTTATATTGTACACAGGGTATAAATATAAATACTCCTCACAATTATCCAGGAGCTAGTATCATTATTGTCAAAGCTATGGTTTTTCCAGTAGTCATGTATGGCTATGAGAGCTGGACCATAAAGAAGGTTGAGTGCCAAAGAACTGATGCCTTTAAATTGTAGTGCTGGAGAAGACTCTTGAGAGTCCCTTGGACTGCAAGGAGATCAAACCGGTCAGTTCTAAAGGAAATCAACACTGAATATTCATTGGAAGGACTGTTGCTGAAGCTCCAATACTTTGGCCTCCTGATTCAAAGAGCTGACTCATTGGAAAAGACTGATGCTGGGAAAGATTGAAGGAGGAGGAGAAGAATAGGGTGGCAGAGGACGAGATGGTTACACAGCATCACCGACTCAGTGAACATGTATTTGGGCAAACACTGGGAGATAGTGGAGGACTTCGGGGCCTGGCATGCTGTAGTCCATGGGGTCGCAAAGAGTCGTATACTACTTAGTGACTGAACAAGAAGTATCATTATTGCTTTTACATATGTAAAAACCCAAGTCCAATTCCACAGGACTTCTAAGCAGTGTTGCAGACCTAAGTGCAGTGCTCGGTGCTTCCCTCCATCTTTCCCAGTAAAGGCTGATGGTGGTGAGCCTAGCGGAAGTAACCTGCTCTGTGAGGGTACAGCTCCACACAACTGAAGGATTTGTTCTTGTTTCTTTATCAGTAGCCCTCACTCCCCCTAACAAGGAACTGCTTCTGTCACACACTTGACCCCGAATTCCTCTTCCTACCTACACTTGAGTTTGAGATGCAATTAAGTAGCTCAAGTGGTGGCTGCCCTGCTTCCCAGGTTTTCGTAGGACCTTTCCTTCTTACTTGGCCTTTACCCAATGCTCTTTCCTGGTGTCCTGAAGGCACTGCCTCCCTGGCCCTGTGCAGTCCTAGAGCTTTGAAAAGCCCGAATTCTTTCCCACAGGGCAAACTCCAGGCCATCCTTTGTGACTCTGCACCTTACAGCATCACATAGGAAAAAGCTCTTCCCTTTTCCTGCCACCTGCTACATCTGTATGGGCTTCCCAGTGGTGAAGAATCCGCCTGCCAGTGTAGGAGATGCAGGGGACTTTGGTTCAATCTCTGGGTTGGGAAAAGATCCCCTGGTGTAGGAAATGGCAACCCACTCCAATATTCTTTCAGGGAAAAATCCCATGGACCAAAAAGCCTGGCTAGAGTCCATGAGGTAGCAAAGAGTCACACACAACTGCACAACTGAAAATATACGCATGCTGCATCTGTAATCTGGTGTAGAGCCTGAGGAAGAACTTGGGGGCAGAAACTAGAGAGGAGGTACCCAAGGGGGAAGAGCCTCTCTGAAGGTGAGAGCCTTGTGAGATAAGATCACCGGAGTGCCTTCCTCTTTGTCACCCTATGGGTCTTCTGAACAACCCCAAACTCAGAAGAATAACAGATTTCATCCTCAGGGAGACAGGGCACCAGCTGAAGGTTCTGGTTTGGGGGCTATTGTGTCTTTATACCTGCACCCTAGAGGGATCTGTCTGTAAGACTGGATCATGGGGAAGAAAGAAGAAGATGCCACCTCCCAGGGCTGGAGTCCTTTGGGTCTTTCTCTTTTCTAAGCAGCCATGGGGGTGGAGGCAGAGCAGGATGAACCAATCTGAGGATCTTCAAACACACACATTAAGTCGCTTCAGTCATGTCCGACTCTGACCCCATGGACTGTAGCCCGCCAGGCTCCTCTGTCCGTGAGATTCTCCAGGCAAGAATACTGGAGTGAGTTGCTGTGCCCTCCTCCAGGGACTCTTCCCAACCCTGGGATCAAACCCACATCTCTTTGTCTCCTGCATTGGCAGGCGGGCTCTTTACCGCACCACCTAGGAAGCCCTCAAACACACACACACATACACCAGTTTTTACCCAAACAGTGGTTTTTACTAAGTTCCAGGTGGGGCTGGCTTGGCATAGCCAGTGCAGCAGGTTGCCCTCAAGGGCCAGTCTGTGGTATGACAGGAAGTAACCAAGGTGCACACATTGAGGCTGCCCTCCACGCTCACTGGGGTGGCTCAGAGGGGCGCAAACTCCAGGGTTCTCTGAAGATAACTGACCAGCGTGGCTCTTTGGCCTTTTTTCCAGGCCCTGCTGGGTCATTCCCCAGGCCCCAAGGCAGGGCCTGCATCCTGGGACTGTGGGGCGCTGCTGCCCTTGCTGCTTTGTGGGAGAAGGATGGCCAGCAACACAATCAGGAGGATGAGCAGGGCACTGCCCACTGCCAGCCCCACGTAGATCCGGCACCGGGCATTCTCCCAGCGCTTCTTCTGGGCCAGAGTCTTGGTTGTCTTGCTGAAGGCTGAGCTCTGCAGACACAGGGTTAGGGTTTTCCCCAGAGCCCCAGACCAGCTCCTACCAACCCCATCCCCACAAGGGGTCTCCTTGTCTCCTTGCTCAGCCTCCCCAACCTGTCAGCTCCCTTTCTCCACAAAGCCTCTCTTGGGACCCTCCCAGCCTGACTCCTGGTCTAGACACTGGTGTAGCCCCCGACTCACAGCCCTGCGGGTTCACTCCCAGTTAACAACACCAGTCTTCAACGTTTTAGGACGATCCACAGCTTCAAACCAAGGCCTTCATCCTTCACGAGGCCTCCCCACCCATTGCCAGCTGGGCTCAGGGCCCTCAAGAAACCCACACTGGCCTTTGGGTAAGCATCAGGCCCCACCCATGGCTGGGAGAGCCCTGGGCACCGTCTGAGTGCTCCTTACGAGGGTCCCTCGCCCTCGCCCTCCCTGCTTCCCCAGGCCTCACACCATGTCCAGGAGTTGGTCTGAACGCTGCTGCAGCTCCACCAGCTTCCCGTCACGCTCCAGGACCTTGTCGAAGTTGTTGCGCATGATTTCTGTCACCTCATCCGCCTGCTGCTGGCATCGCTCCAACTCTTTCCCTGCCTGGGCACCAAGCCCAAGGTCAGGGCTATGTGATGCCCCCATATGGCCCTCATCTGGCCATGAGACCCAGAGGCCTCCTTGCCCCCGGTGTGTGTGTGTGTGTGTGTGTGTGTGTGTGTGTGTGCAGTGTCTGAGTAAGGGGAACAGCATTATAACAGCATTATTCACATAAGGGTCTGATATGGGCTGAATGAAGGGCTGATCTCTCGGGGTGTATGGCTCGTCTTTGGCTCCCCCCTCCCATGTCCATCAGGGCAGGTCCTAGGTCAGCCTTGACTTCCAGCATCTCACCTTCATCTAAGGTGCCCCAGGATGAGACCTTCCCAGGACCTGACCACCCTCCCCCAAAGCAGACACTCGGCTCACGTGTTCGAAGTGAAGGGAAAGTCACTCAGTCATGTCTGACTCTTTGTGACCCCGTGGACTACAGGCCGCCAGGCTCCTCTGTCCATGGAATTCTCCAGACAAGAATACTGGAATGGGTTGCCATTCCCTTCTCTGGGGGATTTTGCCCACTCAGGGATCGAACCTGAGTCTCTTGTACTGCAGGCAGATTCTTACTGTCTGAGCCACCAGGGAAGCCCCACCTGTTCTAGGATGGCCTCAACTCAGGGTGCACCTGCCTTGTGGTTTCCCACTGGCTTAAAGAGGCGCTGAAGAACAAGCAACTGAGCTACTTGGCCACAGCCAGACAAGAAGGAGATCCAGCCCACAGAGCTAGAGAGGTCATTTTGGACCACCACATCTTATATAGCCTCTGCCCAACCCTACAGACACACACTCAGATTAGATCTCCCTTCCTTCCTTCCCCAGCCTCTGACTTGTCAGGCCAGTTCTGCTTCCTGGCCTGACTCTACTCCCGCATCAGTGCTCAGAGTTGACTCCCTGTCTGCCTGGGAGCCTTGGCCTTCCTGGCCTCTGGCCTCCAGCTTTTCAGCTATAGCCAAGGTCTTCTCTGGGATTCAGCTCTTGGATTTCCCAGCCTGGGCAGCAGCCTCATCTGACAAAAGAACCTGGCTCATTTCAGAGGACTGGGAAGGGAGATGCAGGGTCCAAGCTGGGGGAGAGGTCAGGAAGAGGAAGAAAGAATGGGTCACAAGCAAGGAAGAAACTGGGCTTCGGATACATGCACCAGGGAGAGACCCATGGCAGGAGACTGGAGTCCAGAGACATGCTGCCAGGAGGAGATGAATCCCAGCAGATTAACAAACCACAGCAACTCCCTCCTCTTCCGGCCCAGTCCCCCAGAGCCCAACCCTGTTCTCATCTCCTCCCCACAGAACATGGGCCAAGCTCACTTTCCTGCCAGACTATATTGCCCATTGTCTGCAGCAGACATTTCAGCATTTGACTGAATTCCACTTAAAACCAGAAAAAGGAAAGGGATCTGGTGGTCACAGAGGGCCACCTCCTACTCAGGCAAGAATTCCCATTCAGGATCCTCGCAGCTTCCTTGCACATAACCTCCAAGCATTCCCAGTATATGAGTTCTCTCTCCTCAACTGGACCACAAGCTCCCAGAGGGAGGGCAGGGGCCAGTGCCCTGCCTTTGTCTGCCACCAGCCTGGGGACCCAGGAGGCCAGCACACAATGCTGACCATCGCAGGGAGTCAGTGAGTGGGCCAATTGCATTATAACTTATCCAAATGCAACTCTGATGCTCAAGTTTGTTACCCCAGTGTATTTCTCTAACCCAGCAGGAGTTTCGAGGGGGCAGGCATCTGAAACCCAAGTAGGTCAATATTTACTCATGAGCTAGAAAAGCAACCTGTTTCGAAAGGGGGGCCAGCAAACCACAATAGAAGGGTGCATTTGGACTGGGGAAAGCCATAGTTGGGGAACGAGGAAATATCATGAAGCAAGCTGGAAAGTTGTACTCATCTCTATCTCTTCCTGAGTCAACCACCATCACCACTATTATTACGACTATATGAATAATCAGCAAGTCTCCATTACTTGGGCTTCCCTTGTGGCTCAGCTGGTAAAGAATCCGCCTGTAGTGCAGAAGATCTGGGTTCGATCCCTGGGTTGGGAAGATCCCCTGGAGAAGGGAACGGTTACCCACTCCAGTATTCTGGCCTGGAGAATTCCATGAACTGTATAGTACATGGGGTCGCAAAGAGTCAGACACAATTGAGTGACTTACACTCCGTTACTTGGAATCTCTCATATTCAAATAGTCCAAGGCATTCCTACATTCAAATAGTCTAAGGCAAAAACCTGGGAAGGATTCAAAAATGAGAACCTTGTGGTTCACTGGTAAAGGATCTGACTGCCAATGCAGCAGACATGAGTTCAATCCCTGGTCAGAGAAGATCCCACATGCCCTGGGGCAACTACTGAGCCTGAGCTCTAGAGCCCCTGAGCCGTAAGTACTGAAGCCCACGTGCCCTAAAGTCTGTGCTCCGCAACAAGACAAGCCACTGCAATGAGAAGCCCGAGCACCACAACTCAAGAGTAGCCCCCACTCTTGGCAACTAGAGAAAGCCCACACAGCAATGAAGACCCAGTGCGGCCCAAAGAAAAATAAACGAATAAACAAAAACTTTTTTTTTTTTAAATGAGAACCCCTGCTAGAGACTGTGGAATGCTGCACGTCATTTTTTTTCCTACTCTAAATGCTACAGCTGTTGTTATCTTATTCTCCAGCATGGGGTGATGTTGGGTCACATTCTTCTGGAGAGCTGGCTGTGCCTCCCACTGCAAGCTGCAGCCTCCATCCCCCAACCGCAAAGCCAGGCCTGTCTGGAGCCTAGATGGGCCCAGGCCTAAAAGAACACATTCACTCCAGGGAACACACAGGCCCGAGGTTCAAGTCTCTGGGCCTCCTTGGCCTTTCTCAAGCAGAGGAAAAAGGACACTATATGCACGAGTCTCTGCTGGCAATGATTAAAATAAAGAACTGCGGGATTTAAAAGGAGATAAGAGACCAGAGGGCAGGATTCCTGCCATACAGAACTCAGTGTAATGCTTGGCACACAGTGGATGTGTGGAAAATATTTTCTGAATGAGTTGGGGCTGTTCTTGAAAAGATGGCTATAGGCTGGGGAAAAGAGATGTATATGATACAATTAGAGGAGAGCAATGACTTCACACCATGAGATACAAATAGGGAGTGTTGGAGTTGCCGACAGACAAGTGATTCCTGAGAACCAAGATGGACCGGGTAAGGTGGAGCTTGGATGCTCCTGCCACAGGCAGACAGAAACATACTCCAGACAGAGTTAAGGGTGGAGGGGCAGGGTGGGGCCTGAGAAAGCCCCAAAAAGTCAAGAAGTAGGACTTCTCTGGTACTTAGTGGTTAAGATTTGGCGCTTCCACTGCAGGGGACACAGGTTTGATCCCTGGTCTGGGAACTAGGATTTCACATGCAGTGTGAGGTGGCCAAAAAAAACAAGGATGCTCTCGCAGAGGGAGAAATGGATGAATCAAGAACTAGCGTAGGTTTCTGAGCCTGGAGGAGAACTTCTGTGTTGGTGGTAGATTGGCGTGGATGAAAGTGAGATAACTGAGGCCAGAAGCCACTAGAAGGCATGTAGAAGTGCCATCAGCAAGGGTATGTGGAGATGTCTGCAGGCTGGGGGAGGGAGGAAGGCAAGAGAGGAAGGGTGAGTGAGAGAGGAAGGGAGGGTGAGAGGCACTTCCGAGAGTGGGGGCAGGGGTGGGGGGCAGCGTTGCTGGCGGACAGACGGTGGTAGTTAAACTGGAAATCAACAGACCGTTTTCCTGTGTGCAGAACATGCCTCCTTCATTTCTCAAATCTCCCCTCAGGTTTTTCCGGCCAGAAACAGCTAGTTCCTCGGAAAAACAAAGCTCTCAAAAAACCTCCCATTCAGACATTCCTGTCTGCCCTTTTTCCTGGTTAGTGCCTATGGCCAGCTGTCACGGTTGTCATCCTTAGAGAGATCCACCCAGGCAGTGACGTGGGGTATCAACTCCTTCCTGGGTCCGTTCACACCTGAGCTCAGAGCTTAAGAGCTGCACCCTGCATTACAGCCACCAGCACCTTCAAATCCTGCCTCTGCTGCTCAACAGCTGAGTGACTAAGGACTGGGGACATGACCTTTCTGACCCTCCACTTCCTCATCTATTAAGTGGTAACAATAACATCTCCCACATTAGCTGAGGCATGTGACCTATTAGAAATAAAATGCCTAGCACAATTCCTGAATGCTCAATAAATAACAGCCATTATTGCTATAAGATCCCCTGGAGAAGGGAATGGCAACCCACTCCAGTATTCTTATCTGAAGAATTCCATGACAGAGGAGCCTGGTGCGATATAGTCCATAGGGTCTCAAGGAGTTGGACACAGCTGAGGAACTAACACTTCATAAATTTCTATAGCCCAATTTTCCCTAGTTTTTTTTTTTTAGCTGTCAGATCCCAGGAACCACACAATACTTGTGGTTAATAAATCCTCTTGGGTGTAACTACTGAAGCCCACACACCTAGAGAAGCCACCGCAATGAGAAGCCCGCGTGCTGCAACTAGAGTAGCCTGCGTGAAGCAACAAAGACCCACTATGCTCCAAAAATTTTTTTTAATAAATAACAAGATAAAATAATAAATAAATGAATCTCATTTTTTTAAAAAATAAAATTCAAATATTTTTACAAAATACACAGCCAAGCAAGCTCTTCCCTATGGCCAACTTATGCACATAACTGTTTCTAACCTATATATAGAACTTGACATGGGCCTTTGATAACCTACATCTAGTGCATTTCCACCAGGCATTGCAGGCTGTTGAGAAGGTTTTACATCTTGACAGTAATAACAGCTCCCAATCAATGGGCACGTACTCTGAGCTAAGCACTGAGCTGCCAGCTGACTGCTCACTTTATCTCATTAAAGCCTCACAACAATACACTGAGAAAAGTACCCTTATCCCAGTTTTATAAGAAACTGAGGTTCAGAGGGGTTAAATCACCCCCATCCAAGGTCACAGGGTCAGTGAATAGAAGATCTAGGAGTTGAACCGACTTAGACTCCAAGGATGACATTCTTAACCCTAGTGTTAAACTGGATGGCGGTAAAGGGAGGTCAAATGCTTTAGCTGACTGGCTAAAGACCCATCAGACCTTTTGATGCTGTCTCCTCAACTTGTGTGCAAATGAGGAAGGCCTGTGGCTCAAAAACCCACATTGTTTGCACAGTGCGTAAGCGAGGACTGTCTATAAGATGAATGAATCAAGTCAGTCCCCGCTCAGTTTCTACCTTTCCCATCACTATTTTGTTTCTACTCTATTCCCTGTACCGGTCACCATGACTAGCAAGGGAAATGCCCAAGAAACAGTTGTTAACTGAATGAATCAGCAAAGAAAACGACTTCTCTGGTGGTCCAGTGGTTGAGACATGGATACAGTCCCTGCTCTGGGAGGATTCCTCATGCCTCAGAGCAACCAAGCCCATGCACCACAACTACTGAAGCCCACACACCCTAGAGCACATACTCTGAGCTTAGCTCAGAGTGCTTAGCATGTGCTCCGCAACAAGAGAAGCCACCACAATGAGAAGCCTGTGCACCACAACTAGAGAGTAGCCCCTGCTCTCCCCAGTTAGAGAAAAGCCTGAGCACAGCAACAAAGACCCAGAGCAGCAAAAAATAAATAAATAAACATTTAAAAAAAAAAGAGGAGAAAAGAAGGGAAAGGAAGAAGGAACAGGTAGGGAAGGACCAGATGGGAAGCAGAAAGGGGTGGACAAAGGGGCAGGAGTGAGAGAAAATGCAGAAGGGAAGGGGCCAGGAGATGGTTGAGAGAGAGATCAAGTCTCAGGCTCAGATCCACTATTTGCCTGAGATGAACCTGTGAGAGTCCCAGAGTTTTCCAGTACCCCCCAGTAACTGATCCCATCCTCAGCCTTCATTTCATGAGTTTCCTCTTCTCACCAAGCGCTAAGGGCCAGCTGCAAGCCCATCCTAACCCTGCCTGATTCCTTGCTCTGCATGCTGGGAAATGGGCTCCAGGCTCTGTCCCATTCTCCAGGCCTCCCTAGGTTTCCTGGCCCAGCCTTAGAACTCATTGCTACCTTCCTGCCTGGCTTCCTCTTCCTGCCTCCAGTTCCCTGGAGATGAGGCCATCTTGGCACCTCAACCCCCAGCCAGACCACATCCATCATACCTCTGCTGCTTCTCCATGGCAGGATCTTTTTTTTTGGCCACACCATGCAGGATCTTAGTTCCTTGACCAGGGATCGAATCTATGCCCCCTGCATTGGGAGATCAGAGTCTCGTAACTGCTAGACCACCAGGGAAGTCCCTGCATGGCAGAATTTTAAAGCATTAAGCCTGCTTCCTGCTGGACACAACTTCCCATGAGTTCCAGGCAAGGGGAGAAGTGACTGACACCACCAGCTTCTGACACCTTTGCCTTGGAAATGACAAGCAGGGAGAGAGGCCGGAGTCTAAAGCACGGAGTAGAGCATGACTCAACTCAAGAATGTGTCCCTTAGGTAAGGCTTAGAAGTGAGTCAAGCTATGCCCCACTGATAACTTCAGTGGAAATTTTATTGTAAACATCTTCCTTTCACTTTCCCCAGGAGAAGGAGTTTGCCCTCCAACACCCTGCCACAGGGCTGACTTGGCCTCTACCACCCCATCTGCTCAGGTTTCCAACTCCTGGGCCAGACTTGGCTCCTCACGGCCCCAGGAAGGGCTGCAGAGTTCATCATATTACCCACCACTTCTCAGGAGCAGGTTCTGAGCACCAGACAAATCTCTGCCACTGTTATCTCCTTCAACCTCCTAAGGATCCAGCCAGGCAGGTACTGCTGACCCCACTTCACCATGCGGAAAAAGAGGCTCAGGGAGGCTAAGTGACTTGCCCCGGGGTCACAGAAAGGGTAAGTGGCCGCCACCAGGACCTCAGCACGGAGTCTCACTCCGAAAGCCGGTGCGTTTAACTACTCGGCTCCGGCAAGTCCCGCTCACTCACCGGGCGCGGGGCAGCCAGGATCGGCAAGCGCAGTACTTTCCCTCCCGGGATGCGCGTGGGAAGCGAAGGGTCCGGACCGGTCCTGGCTCCCGGCCGGCCTTCGTCACCTCGCCGGGGAATGGGCGCGGGTCGCGAAGGGTGCCCCCGCCCTTGGACTTCGGACTGCCGCCCCGCACCCCCATGCTCGCCCTCCGCCCCCTGCCCCGCCCCGGGCCCTCACCATCGCTGCAGCCGCCTCGCTCGCTCCGGCTCTTCTGCCCAAGTGGACGCAGTACCAGCGGCCCCGGAGGAAGCGGAGGGCGGGGCGGGGCCTGCCCGGAGGGGGTGGGGGGCGCGCCTCCTCTGAGAGGCGACAGAGACCGGGTCAAATCGAAAGCGGCTGGCGATGGCTCGCGGGATCCGGGCACAGCGCCTCTCTTGGGGCCGGCGGCGCCCGGCTCGGGAGGATTCCCCGGCCTCGTGAAGTGGGGGCTCCACCTAATAAGCCTGGTGCCAGATCTACACCTCAGGAGTCCTGTGTATGAAATGGTCACAGTGGAGTAGGCTCGGGAACGCGGGCTCAACGGGTCCGCTCTGGAACTGCATCCAAATCAGGTAGACGAGTTCACCTGGACAGGCATCATATGTTCATTCAACAGGCGCTCGAGGGAGCGCCATTGTCCCCCGCTGTGCTAAGGTACTGGAGATGCAGTGAAGAGTCCGGCCAGTGTCTCTGCCACCTTGGTGAGTGCAACTCACCCATAACCAAAAACCGACCCCCACCCCTCCAAAGTTCTGAAACTGAATAAAGTTTATTCACAATAAATATCATGAATGCACTGCCTGACACTGGATTGTACATTTGTGTGTGATAGTTGCACAGTCTGTGTCTGATTCTTTGCGACCCCATGGACTGTAGCTCACCAAACTCCTTTGTCCATGGGATTCTCCAGGCCAGAACATCAGAGTGATTAGCCATCACTTTCTCCAGGGGATCTTCCTGACCCATGGACCAAACCCAGGTCTCCTGCATTGCAGGCAGATTCATTACCATCTTAACCACCAGGGAAGCTCAGATTGTACACTTGAAAAGGGTTGATTGCATGTTTTGTGAATTTCACCTCAATTAAAAAAGCAGACAGACTCCAGTGGGGAAGGTGCTAGCCCTAACTTTTTATTTCCCCTTCACCACATGGGCCATGGCAGCCCTGCCCTCATAGGACCCGCTTCCTCAGTTGGAAGATGAGGGAGGCTGGCGTGTCTGTCTGTCCAGAGCCTTCCTGAGCTGAATCTGTCCATCTTCAGCCTCTCCTTTCACTGCTCCACAGAAGCCAACACCACCCAGTTCTCTACCCGGCCTCATACCAACCCAACATCTCACATGTGGCCCCTCTTGAGGAAGGAGGTGTTGACTTCCCTCTCCCAGGTTGAGGCCCCTGTGAGCAGACCCCACCCTCACCCTGGAAGGTCTAGGTCCCACTCACCCCAGTTGCTTGGACTTTAAGTCTAGGAGTGGACTGAGAAGGAAGAAGATGGACATGATGGTGACCAAGACTGCCCCCCAAAGGGCTCTTCGGTGCTTTCCTCCCTTCCTAGTTGTCAGAGCATGCTTCTAGAACTGGATTGGCTAGTACTAGTCCCCTGTCCTGTCTCCCAACCCCGCCCCTTCCAGACTGCTTCCTCCAAAGAGGGCAGAGATGACAAGAACCCTCCCCCCAAACCAAGATGCACTGGGCACTGGAAAGAGTAACAATGATGGTGGGACCTGGTGGGGAGGAGGGAGGCCCAAAGACAGAGAGGTCCATTGTCCAGGAGGGGAAGGAAAGCCACAGGCCCTGTCCTGTGACACTGACTGTGTCCAACCACGGGACACAGGGGTGAGAAATGCGCACCCCCTCAGGACTGCTAAGACCCAGAGGCTCTGCTAAGCTCCAGAAGGCCAGTGGCAGACAAAAAACAAATAGAACTTGCAGAACCACAGGAGAAGGAAGAGCAATTTAGTTCCTCCACCCTCCCTCACCCCTCCCTTCTAGAGTACAGCAGGGCCATGGAAGAGAAATGCCAATGATGGTGGGGTAGGAGGGTGGGGGGAGGGGAGGATTTAGATTTCTAAATGCTCTGCCTGGGAACATTGCATGTCTCAGCTAACATTTCCAGCAGAAAGTAATAAAGAAAATGGCACAGGGCTTCCCTGGTGGCTTGGTGGTAAAGAATCCACCTGCCAATGCTGGAGACACGGGCTCAATCCCTGATCCAGGAAGATCCCATATGCCACAGAAGAACTGAGCTTGTGTGTCACAACGATTGAGCCTGTGCTCTAGAGCCCAGGAGCCACAACTGTGGAAGCCCAAAGGCCCTAGAGCCCATGCTCTGCAACAAGAGAAGCCACTGCAATGAGAAACACGCACACCGCAACTATAGCATAACCCTTGCTTGCCACAGCTAGAGAAAAGCCCACTCAGCAATGAAGACCCAGCACAGCCAAAAATTAAAAAAAAAAAAGAAAAAGAATGAAAGACAATGGCACGACCCACAGAGGACACTTAGGAGTCTTATATACCACCCTAAAATGCTGGGAACGCCTTGAATTTTCCATACTCCAAGAGTTCCAGAAAATCCCTGCTCTTGAGACCCATGATGGAATGAGGGGCGATTAAAAAAAGAAAAAGTTTCCGTTCTTCTTCTCCAATCCTATATTCTCCACCCCTCCAACAGTCTGGGCCTCTGATGGGAGAGTTCTGCCAGAGAGTGTCCTGGGGAGAAACAAAATAGAAGGGCCAAAGGCACAGTGGAAAGGGAGAAAGGACATCACACACATAGGGATACTGAAAGGTCTTTATTGCCCACTGGCCACCCTCAGTTCCATCAGTTTTCCAGCCATGTGCTAGGCTCTCTGGGTCTCTCCAACCAACTCTGAGGACCCCTGAAATGCAGCCACAGTCCAGCTCTCTCTTTCTGGGGACAACCGTGTTCCCTGGGGCAGACAGGGGGCTTCAGAGTGCGGGGCGGCAGGACCAAGCAGCATTCCACGTGAAGAAGGACAGGAGAGAGGGCCCCCCTTGGCATGCACCACGGAAGGTGGCAGCCGAGGAGGAGGGCAGGGAGGGAGGGGTTCCCTAAGTGGGGATGGCGCCGGTGGCAAAAAGCACGATGAAGAGGACGATGATAAAAACAATCACACAGATGAGGACAATCATCTTCACGTTCTTCCACCAGAACTTCCGAGCCACCTTCTGTGACGTGGTCTTGAAGTGCTCTGACTGTTGGGGATAAGGCAGACAGAGACCCACATGCCGTTCCATCTAAATATTGAAGTGCTAAGTGGAGCTAACAGATTGCTAAGTAAGACAGCTTATGTCCTCCTATCTTGACAAATGTACCTTCAGAACCATCTGGTGGGCCAAGTTCAAATTTAGAATTCGTGGGGCTCCCTCTGGTTCCCTGTCCTCCACATTGGGCTTCTGACACATGCTTCCACCCAGCCTTGTGACAACGGCAGCACAACCTGCCCTTAGGAAGGCAGACAATCGGGCTGAGGGGGCGCAGGCTCCAGGGGGGATATATCTTCCTGGTTCTATGATTTCTGGCCCCATGAGGACTGCCGAAGCCAGAGGAGGGGCTCAGGGCCGTACAGAGGCTGGAGCTGAGGGCAAGTGTTCTTCCTTCTCCCAACATGAGTTGGAAAAATTGTTTCCTTTGGCCCTGCTCCCCAGATCAGGCTGAGGACAGAAACACTAAGTCCCCAGAAGTTAAATGAGCAATACTCAAGATTACATGCAGGACTCCGAAAGCCACTGCCAGTCTCTCCCTGTGGACATGGGATCTTAGGCTCCAGCCCTCTGCTGAACTTTAGAGTCACTCCTTCCCTGAGCAGCTGGCTTTGGCCTCTAGCTGGAGAGACAGGAGAATATTTAGCCAGATGTGTGGGAGATGTTATTCTAGCCTTCAGCTAGCAGAAGAGCCTGGGATCAAAGACTTTTTTACTGCTCTTCCCAGCTTCTTTTCAAAGCTGGTTCAGCAAGACTCTTAACAGTTTTCCACCCCCTGCCTAAAAACCCTGGGGAAGGCCAGCAGCCCTAAGAGGATGTTCTGGGGCCAATATTTTTGTCCTGGGATGGCCAGATCCAAATGAGAGTCAAGGGCAGCCTTCAAAGGGAAAATCAGTTTCATAGGAGAGAAACCTAAGAAAGCACAGGCTGACTGAGCCGTCTGTCTCAGAAAATCCCTCCATGGATCCAGCCCCGCACCCCCAAATCTGTCCTTAAACTCAATTCCAATCAGTGGAGTATAGCAGAATCAGAAGTGGGGACTCAGCTCACGTCAGTTCCCAACACACATGAACAGACAGACTTCCCTCCTTCACTCTGCCACCACGATCACCACGCCCCCAGTAATCTTCCTTGCCCCTCTTCCTTGCATCCCCTGGGAGGGGGTGGGGGAGCTCCCTGGGGGATAGGGTGAGGGGCTCCCTGTCATCTCACTGTGGCTTCCAGATCCTCTGTCTTGTTGCGAAGGTGGTCCAGGTTCTCTCCCCGGGCCAGGATCCGCTCCACATTCTGGGTCATGATATTCTTGACCCCTTCCACTTCATTCCGGAGGTTCCGCACACGATCATCTCCTCCACCACCACTGGCCTCCTGGGCAGCCACACAAGGGGTTAATTAGGCCAAGAGCTGGAGGGACTGAGACCCAGCCTCAGAGGCCAGGGGAGGGGGAGACCTGAGGTGGACTTTAGCTTTTTGCAATGCTTGATCTGTTTGCAAAGAGAATGTTTTTCTGAAGAACTCGGGTAATCAAAACCAAATGCCTCTATAAGCCCCAGGTGGTGAGAGCCATCCATGTTAGGAGACAGATAGGACCCAACTTCTTTGTGGATTCTCAGGGCCCTTGACAGAACAAGAAGCAACCCTCAAACCCCTCTCCACTGCTTCCCTGTTCCTCAGAGAGGGTCAGAGGAGACGACTAAGCCAGTACCTCCCAATGCACAGCTCCACCACTATGTATGAAATTCCCAGGTCCCACAGAT